AAAATTATATTTAAAATAATAACTTGATAATATTCTTTTGAGTTTTATTGCGTAAGTTTAAAAGGGATTGAACTTAATATAGCGAGTTTCTTTCTATCATTCCGTGTACGCTGCTTTTATTTGACTTAAATCGTTCAAGTATTCAATAAAAAACGAATAAATTCTTATAAAAACATTACTCTCAAAAGTTTTTAAATTGTCCTCAATTTTATTTCTGTTAAAAATAATTCAAATTTCATTAAGTTGTGTAAACTTTGTTCCAAAAACTCTTTTTCAAATCAATGTGCACATCGAGAAAGAATAGTAATAATACTGATAATTTATTTTGATATACTTTTCTTTTAAATTCGTTCGATATTTTTAGTACAGGGACTGTCATAAAATACATCATGTTTTTTTCATTTAAGACAGCGTTCCGGCCTTTTAACATTACATCAAATTAAAGCTATATAAAGATAATTGATGTAGAGAGCGCTTTTAACAAAGACCTACTGGACCAGTTACCATTATCGCCGTTGAGATCATGACAACTAGTGTCTTGCTTACCTACCGTCTGATGTCCCACCACGGCAAAGCAACGCGTCAATTGCCCACCGTGTCCAACTCACCGTCGTACGTCAGCGTATGAATATTTTCATTACCTTCACAGCAGGCGCCTCCATTTGGCTGTCCAATTGTGCGCCATAATTTTACTATTTGTTGTGCTGCACCCTTGTGCTCAAGCTCTTAAAATTGCCGCGCTCTTACACACCTTCAGTGATTGAACCCTAACCGAAGAAGATTTACCGTCCAAACAGCTTTTCTGCCGTCCCCTGTCGTCCACCATTGCATGCTTTGCACCTACGCGCTACGAGTTCTACACGACCTTTGTGGTTCTTACATTCGGTGCCTACTGGGTTTGTGCTCGTCCTTTGCCGCACACTGCGGAGCCAACAAGTTTTACCACAACAACTCATACGCTATCATCGACTTCATTTATTCAGTGTTGGTTTTCAATGTTATTTATTATTTTGTTTTAGTCGAGTCCGTCTATATTGATCATTGCCGCTTCATTAGTATCTAAAGGCGCTCCCAATACACGCTAAACTACAGTTACTCATTGTATAATCTTAGATAATATAGTTTTTAATTTATTGTCCGAGTGTCATTTTATTGGATGTACAATTAAACAGTATCTATCCAGGTGACCACCACACTTCCCCCCTCATCCACTGGTAAGCGAAAACGGAATTAAGCCAAGACGACAATCTAGTGCGTTGGAAAACTAACCGTCCTATGGTCTAGTTGTATCATACAAAACAGTACTTTAAGTTTAAACAAAATTTGTCTACATATCTTTTCATCTACAAGTAATCGCCAATTAAAAACACGAATCGTAAATAAAAGGCTTGTTAACACACGGTAATAACAAAGAATATTTACATAAAGATGTTTTTGTTTAGACAATATTATTAAATTACAATAACTTAACAACAGTAAATTTATTTAAGCTAATTGATATTTAATTTTTTTGTGAAGTATAAAATAAGTCATTTATAAAAATTTTCGATGTTTTGTTATTTTCATTAATTTCCATTGGCTTTCATATTTATTTGGATGAAACAGGAAGGTTCAATTCTAATCACAAAAAACTTCAAGTTAGACATTCAACAAATTACATATAATTATGATGAACTATTTTACCTTGATTATCAACAAAGTTTATTTCTGACAACTTTTTATTTTTTGATTGATTTTCTATTTCTAGAATAAAACAATGTAACATAAATTATAATAAAGTAGTTATTTTAATAGGGAATGTTTAAAGTTCATGAATTTAATAACTACTTTAACATGTAATATATATTGCCATAAGAAGAACCCTTGGCAAAGGCAAAGAGAAAGGTAAGGGTTCAAACTACTTATTACGTATTTTTTTGAAATCTTATCAAGTGAATAATGAATGGGTTGACGATTATGTATTCAAACTACCTCCAACATATTATCTATACCTTAGTCATTAGCGCAATTCAGTCATAATTTTTATCCATTTTTATTTACTTTTATAAACATTTTTTTTGCATAACATTCTAAAGTTTCAAAAATATATATAAATATTTCGACATACTGAAGCAAAGGAAAATTAATCACATCTTGTCATATCTTTAAACTAAGATTATCTCATTTACTATACAGAAAGATTGTTGAATTATGACTCTTGCAATATCTTTTTAAAAGTATAAAACAAAAAATCATATTTTCTTTTAGTAGTTTATAATATCTTAGTCTTATGATTTACAAAAATAATTTTGTTCCTTTCAACCGCTTCTTAAAATTTTGTTATATTTCATTTTTTTTTTAATGTAACTATATGTAAAATTATTAAAAACACATTATAATTTTATTTTTAGATGTTAATAATATCTTATACTCCAATATTTTAAAAAAATGTGTTCTCTCCCATCTCTATTATCTAAAGTAGTATAAAATTAATTTTTTTAAATGGAAACATATATGTTTAATTATCTTAAAAATAAGAATGATCTCAATAACAACTTTTATACCAGTATTTTAAATAACATTAGCATTTTAATACATTTTAATAGAGTTGTAATGCGGTTCATAAACGCCTTAAAATAAAATTAAACAGATCCGCGCTTCAGTCCAGTTTATATTATAAAATTTTAATAATTTTCCAAGTACTGATCTAAAAGTTGTTATGTTAACCATTTAAAATGATTTAATATTTTTATTATACTAGTATTGTTCATAATACTAATAAGCCGTAAACACCATCTATACTGAAATAATTAACCTCGTTTATTCAATTACAGCTATCTGTTTTGGACGTGGAACGTTTTTCCATTAAAACAATATTCACAGGCCTAACCTTCCAAAGTGCTTATAACAGTATCAATACTCTCGAAAATAACAATAGAAATATAAAATTTGAAAGAACGAATAACTAGCGAAGGTTTTTTTTAATATTTAAATCTATTCGAATTTAAATACTATTGACCTAATTGTTAACTAGTAAACAAATCAACATTTAAAAACAGTTATGAAAATTTTAATTAAGCTGTCCTCTCTATTATCGATACTTAGCAATATTACTGTAATTAGCATTATTTTACCTTTTTCTATGAGATTAATAAATTCTGGTATTTCTTCAGTTTTAATTTTATAAAACATATCTGAAATAAATAAAGTTACAAATGTTTCTGTCAAGGATATTTTCAAATTATTAGTAGTGTTTATATAGATTTCTAATAATCTAGTAATATTTTAATAAATTTACAATTTCTTAATTATATTATGAGGGACGGTAACGCGGCAGTGTTTGACGCGCACTGCTTCGGGTTCGAAACTCGGTCACGGACAGCTTCATTTGCCGAATGACAAATCAGTTCGGTATTCGGAGTCACCATCCCTCTCTCCAACTAACCACCCGTCCCAGAGTATAAATTGTTAAGAAACCTCCTCCTCCTCCTTTGGGGAGGCCGCTATGGCCCTTAATTGGCTGATAAAGCGATAAAAAAAAAATTATATTATGAAAAAACTAATAAATTTTGCCAAACAAAGTAAAGAAAGTAGTGATTAATGATTTTGACATTTTTGTCCCATAAGGGAATTCTCAAGGATATTTACACAAATAAAACATAAAGCGATACAATATTAACAGTTTTATTAAAATTACTTACCTGGTTTAAAAAAGTCTATTAGTTCTTTAGTGCCTCGTGATTCAACCTCAAATTTTAAACCAAAACAAGCTGTTGAAAAAAAATTGTGTTTATAAAAAATTTCATTCTCATTCAAAATTACCATTAATGATGAAAAAATAACCTTGAACATATTTTTTTATTTATTTTCATAAAAACATCATTTGCCAGAACAAAATCTTTAAATGTTCGGTTGAAAAATAAATAATGTGTTGTAATTATAAGTTACTAAAGGAGTTTATATGAGTTTGTTGCTCACTAAAACAAAATTTATTTCTACATGAACTTTGGTTTGTGAAAGTCACTAAACAAAACTTGCATATAATTCAATTTCCTAGAAATCATCATGAAAAAAACGGCATATAGTTATTTGTGGATGACACGGATAAATTCTAATGTCTTGGAACCGGTAGTATGGGATTACGCAAAAAAGTGAAATCACGTATTAAAGCGCCGCTGCCGTCTAGACTGTTATATATTAAACCACAGAACAGTGACACTATAAATATATTGTTGGTAATAATCTAATTAACGAGCGTATTGATATTAATAGCAACTTAAGTTAATTTTCAACTACTTATGTTGAAAGACAGTCGAAAAAGACATAAGAGATAATTTGCCCAAAGGCGGGGTACCAAAACGCGTGAATGCACTTAAGACGTCGTCAGAGACCGGAGAGCGCGTCTCAGTAGATAGACTTTGCACTTTATCTATGTAGCCATTGAAGTCCAATCAGATCGCGTTGTAACAAGGCGGCTGATGAAAGAGAAGAGGCAAAATAATCGCAAAATATACGGTACCGTGTCAAGGAGAAAAGGCCACATTTTGATGACCCAGTGAGATATTTAAGTACAGCGGAAGAGTTTCAATTCTAAACAATAAAAATTGTTTTACCTATTACTATTAGTATGAATTCGAATAACGTACAATTACTGTACGGACACTCTCGTATCTGTTGCCTTAGGAGACATATAATACTATACACAATAACCGGTACCTGTAAGATAAATTTAAAAAGTTATATCTCACTAATACCTATTTCTGCGCTTTGATGTTTTGTAGGTATAAACATTGTTCGAGTATTAGAATTATAATTAAATCCAAGTTTGAAATATTTTTCTGAGGAAATTGATTTCATTGTCATGTAAAGTTTTACGTTTAGAAAATCATGGAACTGAAGTTCTTCTATTTTTTCATTAATTTTTTTATACTCGTTATTCCAATCTTCCCATAATAAATCTAAATCGCATGACGCTAAACAACAGAATGTATCTATATAGGCATTAATATTTCTGTAAATGTCTTTTGCAAACGCATCTATAATTACTAGTGTACGTAAATTTTTTAGTGGTTCATCTATTGAACCATGAATGTCATCCAACGTTTTTTGAACTTTTGATAGTTTTAACAACAAATTATTAATAAAAAAATCATTATCCTGAACTTTTTTCGATGGACGTAAATGTAAAATATTCATCATGAACAATGATCCACCTATTAATTTAGCTATTATTTTTATACGTTTTATTAATTTCACAAGATTTATTATGCAATGATACTTTATTGGTTCATTATCTTCTTTATCAGTTAAGTTTTCACAATAATCACAATATTGTTGGAAAACAAAAAAAATCATACGTAAATCTTTAGCATAAGAACATGAAAGAATTACCAATGCAATTCTTACTCTACTATTGCAATTGGTTATATTTAAATCAGATAATTCAAAAGTTTTTTCTAATAAATACTCATCTTGTCTATAGATAACTTTTTGTACGTCATGTAAATTTTTCCATCCTGGATTTCTTAAAAGACTTATGAATATATTCGTTTTTTTCCTAAGATTCCTTTCTGCTTTAATGAGCAATATGATATAAACAATAAATAAATAAATTTTAGGAAGTGTCAATACCATTTTTAAGAATTATTAATAATTATATATTAGTGGAATAACACAGATAATAATTTGAAATGCATAAAAGACACTACTAAAAATGTTGAATTGACACTACTGTTAATGTTATGTTTACAGAGTTGGTGGCAAAAAAATGTAGTCTTCATGCTTGTATCTCATGAAACAATAAAGTTATTATACAGTGTGAATAATCAAGAATATTATTCCCCAATTTTCGTTAAATAATTATATAGTCACAAAATGTACAATTTAATATCATAATTATGAATATAATATCAACCTATTATTTTTTTACTATTCCATGAAGAATAATCTAAACATTATTTTGACTAATTATATAATAACTATAATAATTATAAATTATTACACAACTATATTTATGTATGTATAATATTACCTTTTTAATTTTAAGATTTAGAAAAAATGATGTTGACGTGGATTTTTTTTTTTAGAAAAATATTGGGATTGTAATTTTAGTAAATCACACAGTATATTATAAATTTAAAAGAAAGTTAATATAAAAATGTTAGATTTTTATAAGTAATTAAAATACTGATATAATAAGTGTAGGAGGTATAAGGCCATATTTTAAATTGTTTAATTCTTCTGAATTATTAGTTCAAATGTTGTTTGGACTAATATAACATAAATACTACTATAATAAAACAACCAGTCATAATTGCATTTTTATCTAATTAATGAGGTAGGTATTTAATTTTGCTATTATTTAAAAAAATAATGTTGCCACCCTTATAAGTTATAAGGGAAGAATATAAAAATACTCTATGATTTAATAAACTGAGAGAAGTGTATATTTAAAAAAATAAAAACTTTCAATATTATTTTCATTTTATAAATAAAATAATAGTTGATGATATAAATAATCCTTCTGTATATATTAATTTATATTTTAATAGCTAGGTAAAAATAATGTTCATTTATAAAATATTAGTTAAATCGGAGATTTTATTAGTTTTTAAGTATAATCTATTACATTTCTCACACACATATATTTAGAAATCTGTTTTTATTTATGAGATATTAATATAAATAGTTTTAAAAAATATTTACAGTAAAATTATTATTTAGTAATGTTTTGTATAAATATATATTAAAAGAGACTATTTCAATCTTTAAAATTATCAGTGTTCTTAGAATACTATGGAAAATTTAAATGTGATTTGATCAAAAAAAATTTTTCCTCAAATTAACTTATCAAATAATTCATAAAATCCATCAATTTGTAAAGCAAAATTAATTAACAAATAGTAAAAATACATTAAAGGCAATACTTAAATCACTTTAGTTTTAACATAATAAAATATTTTACATATTTATATTTTATTTTATGGTTAAAATTAATTAATAAATAATATTATCTAAAAAAATAGTAAAATTACTTGCTAACAATTAATGGAATAAATTTGATAAATTACTTAATAGTTTCTTTTAGTTCAAATTTTTCTCTATTTTTCAATAATAATATATTATTAAAATTTTTAAAAAGAAAGTGTCACCTTTATTTTTTATTGGTTACATAAATATATTCAACTAGCTTATAATAAAAAATTATCTAACAAAGAAAATACTGATTAGATATCCTTTACACTTATTTCAACTATACCACATCCTCACTGTGCTGTCAATCTACTGTGCTTGTTTCTTATAGCTAATATATGAAGNAATTGTTATTTTCAAATTCATATTATAGGCAAATGAAATTGTGTGGCTTTACTTCATAAACAAAGTGTTAGATTTAATAGACACTGTAAGTATACAATCATTTATAGCAGTTTACATACGTTTATTTAATTAAAACTATTTAAAGGTTTTTTTTGTGTCTGTTACCACTATTTCTCAGCTCTCGCCGAACCGATTTCTTTTAATGATATGTCAAAAGATCACAAATCGTATCTAGTCGAAGACATTATCCTCAAAAGTTGAAAAAAATTCCCTCATTCCCCGTAAATGGGAGAAACGTCCAAAAAAATTATAAATTTAAAAATCGCTAATTTTCGAAATTTTTTCCATTTTTTTTACTTAAAATTACTATAACTTTTTTAAAAATGACCAAATCAATATAAGTTTTTTTTATATAGATGCATGATATCATTATCTTTCATTTGGCATATTTTTTTTTTATGTCTGACCCTTTACCTGACCACAGAGGGGGATTTAAATGACAACATTTTCACAAAAAATAATTTTTTCAACTTGACTTTTGAAAATGTTCCGGAAAGTCTGACACTTTTATATATATCTTAAATTAAAGCTAATGTAATATACTTTATTATGGTAAAAAAAAATTTCGGACTTTATTTTGTCAGATATCATTATACTTGATCCAACTATGTCACGTCACTACTCTGCCGCGTGCCCCCTGTGTTGGGGTTTTTTTAATTCATCCTTTATGCCTTATAAGGGTGTCAACTTAATTTTTTAATTGCAACATACATATTTAAGTAGTTCATAAAAAAAAAGATAATTATTAGAAACTATACATTTTAGTATAGTTAGATATAAATTAGAGTGGGTATCTGATTTTAGAATATATTGCGGTGAATATACTCAAAAGTAGTAATTCAAAATTGATAAATTTTGAGTTATTTGTTTATACATGTTTTTTTGTGATAAAAATGTACAACACCTTTACGATAAAATAGCGTATTATGTCATATCTACAAAATTAAGTATAATATTAAAATTAAAATCGACGTATAGATAATTTAATTTTCAATTTTTTAAATTAATGTTACATTTTTCAGCTGTTTTCCAAATTGTTTTAACAAAACTATATATCCATAAAAATGAATAAATTCTTTAAAGCGATAAAAAAAATTCTGTATTGGGTATAAATATAGATACTATAAGTATTTTAATAAATTTGACAATATGAATATGATAAAAATGAATGATTATAAAAATTGGATCTAAACAATATTTAAATTTAATGTAAAATCATAAAAAATACATCTGACTAGACTTATAGATATATTTCAGAATTTTTATATTTACTTTAATATACTTAAGAACACATTTCTTTTTACGTACACCGTTTAAGTATTAACAATGATTAGATTTTTTTCTGTCTATCACTTCGTGCACGTAGCTTCTATTAGACTCATATCATTCAATTATTCATGGAAAAAAATAAATCAAGATATTTTCTTCCAAAATTTAATAAAGTTTCCTTAATTTTTTAACAAGTCGTATTATCTCAACATTTGTTTATTTTGAAATTTTATTAAATAAAATATTTAGTCTAAAAGTAAACTATGTTAAATATAAATTAATTTGCACGAAATTTAGTATAGTATAAATAGAATAGAATAGTAAAAATGTATGTTCTTTGATATGATATTTTTTTAATCCTTCAAATACCTCAACTAAAGAGGAAATTATAACACATCGCTGACCTATATCTAAATAAAAATTGTTTAGTTCCAAATATGTGAAAAAAGTTTAACATATATTTCTGTCAGATATAAATATTTGAATTAAAATTAAATATTTTTTGAGTTATGAAAAATTTGATCTAGGGACAAGGAGTTTCATAAATATACTATGTTATTTGCAATTTTTTTATTAATATTGATAAAAAATAAAATAAATAATACGCTAATGATGATAATATTGTTACTAAAGTCTCTGTTCGTGAAGAAAGATACGTAAGCTGTAGGATGCCATAACAAAAAAGAGCGTTCAACGCCCTCATGTTATGACGCAGTACAGGAAAGAGCTCAAAACGGACTTGACTCGCGTGGTAATTCGGTGGCTACTGAAGTTTTATTATCATAGAAAGACTTTGTAATTACTTTGACCTCTGATGTGTTGTGGGTGTTTTTTTTACCTATGTTTTGTTATGGGTTATTTTTGAATAATTAAAATATTAACTCAGATCTAAATAATTCAATAGAAGAATCTTTTTAAATACCATAGATTCATAAAAATGATTTATAAAATGATAAATGGAAAAATAATGATTATAATAAAAGGGATAAAGCTTTTCTCATAAATTAACAGTTCAGAGTAATTTGTAAGTTACTCATTACATATTAACCTAACCACTACTCTTATTTAAGTACTTATAAAAGTTCTTATTTAATGATGTTAATTTCAAACTTCACGTTTGAAACAAAAAATTGTTATGATGAACTCTTGAATTTTAATACTAAAATTTTATTTAAAATTAACTCAAATTGAACATAAAAACAGGTTAAACGTGTTATAATGGATCAAAAATTTGCACATTAAAAACTAAACCTAATTACTATCTAAATATCTAATTATTTTTTATTCTTTAATAAAAATGTATAAATATGTTATTTATAAAAAATCGAAAAATGGTGTATTTTCATTAATATCCATTGGCGTGCATATATCTTCTGATGAAGCAGAATGGTTCAACCCTGACCGCAAAAAAATTTTAAATTAGTATATATCATAATTTACAAAATACATAATCTTATAATTAAATATTTTATCTAGATTAAGAAAATTTCTTGATTCGGTGAACTCTTCAGGTTTATGTTGATTTTCTATTTCTAGATTAATATAATACAATAATATATATAATGTTATAGTTATTTTAATAGAAAATTTATTGAATTATTAAGAATTTGTACAATTATTATCAAAGGCACAATCCTAAAGCGCGTAGTTAAGAATGACGGTATTACAATAAATGTACTTCCCTCAAAATTCCCTAGTATTAAATACTATTTGTAATGCACGTATTATATTTAAGAGTATTATTTTTGATTAAATTTAAATAAGTATTCATTATATATTCAGAGAAGTATTCTACGAAAATATATGAAATCATATAACCTGTCTTTCAATTCAGTTTTTATAAAAGTATTAATAACATCCAAAATACTGAATAAAAAGTTGTGTAAGTTTGAGCATTTTAAGTAAGAGAAAATGTTGAGGATTTCAATGATCAAATAATAAATCTTTTTATTTGAAATCAAATTTCATACGTAGTAAGTAGAGAATTTTTTTGACGTCTAAAGAAGATTTAAAATTTAAAATTTAAAATTAGTATATATCTTAATTTACAAATTACATTAACTTATGATGGAATGTTTTACCTAGATTAAGACAATTGT